CGAGGTGCAGTTGCTGCTCGAGGCTCATTGTTCAAAAGGGCGCGCTCCCCAAAGTACTGGGCAGTGCCTCTTTCCTGGCTGGCTTGCAAGCGAACCTTCTCGTCGCCATCGATGGAAACAGCCACCTCACCCTCAAACAGGATGTAGAAGGTTGTTCCTGGATTTCCTTGCTGAATAATCACCTGCATGTGAGTGAGTGCACAAAATTATGGAAATCAACCCTTGGCCTGGACTGAAACATGCTCGCTACCGAAAACTTTAATACTTGGCTGGCAGATCATTCAGGCCTCCCTCTATGTACCCGAATGAACCCCCACCTCGTTCTTGGAGAAATGCACTTCCATCAAGGCTTTGGCCACTTGCTGCTTTTCAGCCGCAAGCAAGCTGCTCAAAATCTCCACTCGGCTAAGGTATTTCACATACTCCTGGAGCTTCTCCTCGGAGACCTTCATCAAGATTTCCTTGAAGTTCTTACCTTAGTTCATAGATAACTAATCTGAAAACAACAAACACAATACTGCGAATTCGTTGCACACAACCAGGTCAACCAACACTTTTCCTCGTTATCGTTCTCAATTTCAGCCAGTTGCGGTCAATGACCCACACTGAAGAGTTCTCCTTGGCCACCACGGTAGCTGCCCGAGGCACTAAGTAAAGCAAGGCCAACTCCCCGAAGCTCCCACCAGACGTCACAGTCTGCACTAGCTTCCTCGGAAGTGAAAGAAACATCTGGGTCACAGCTGATTGCAGGGATCTAAGGGAATTCGAAGGAGCTCTGAGACCCAGTCCCCAGTCTCCAAGAACAACTGGTGACTACAATATAAGTAAGGATGTTTATAAGGAGTTCCCCCAGTGCAGTGCCGCACCATGCATTCAAAAAAACACCAAGGCATTCAATCGCATTCTTGTTTGTACCAGCTTCCGCTTCTTATCCTTCTTCGAGTCGGTGACAAAAATCTCGAAGGTGCCTCACATTTGAATTCGACTCCATTGGACAAAGGAGAACAAACATCCTGCGCGATCATGCATTATTCCCGGCCCGGCCTGACTGGCAAATGTAGAAGTAGTCCGCAGTAAGATCACCTGGCTCATGGTCCGACTTTTCGAGTGAATTACCAGAGCACCCTAAACAAATCACCACACTATATCCGACTTCGACTTTTTTGCACATCCAAATATGCGAAGGCAAACACATCCCCCACACACAAGTGACCTTCCACGATGATTTCGCTTCCAGCGGGGACATCCTCTCCCCAAGCAATGTCTATAATCTGCTTGACCCGGAGCTCGTCCAATGTCACCATTGTTTGAATGTTTTCGTTCTTCTTCAGGGCCCTTTCCATCAATTGTCTCTCCTCATTTGTCTTTCTGGATGGTGGCTTCACGACCAGCTCTCGCTTTCCACCTGCACCCACTGCCTTTCGGTTGGCGAACTGGATCTTTTCATTCAATCCCATTTCTTTGAATTTCTCTTGTGTGATCTTTAAGGTCTTGATCTCAGTCTTGGCTTTGATAGTCGCTGAGCGTGGCTCATTTCGGAGCAAAGCATTCTCTCCAAAATAGTCGCCCTGCTTCAAGGTCGCCACCTTTTTCTGACTGCCACCTTCACCTACTAATACCTCTGCCTCACCGGATTGGATGATGAAGAATTCTCGGCCAACGTCCCCCTGGGTGATGATGGTCTGTCCTGATTTGAATCCCTGAGTCACACATGCGGCAGCGAGAATTGGGTGTTGGTCTTTGGGCAGCCTCATGAAGAGCGGGACCTGCGAGAGAAAGGACATCGTAGCCTGTCGGGGTTCAACTGAGACCCGGGACCCGGGTTTCGTCTCTCAAGACGTTCTGTCAAACATTTTCACATATAGACCTAAAACAGCAATGCTGGGTGTTTTTTAACGCATTTCATAGCAATGGCAGCACACCCGGCCTGGTATTGTTTATTCTCCTCTTTCGCCTGCTGCTTGTCATTGGCCTGACCTCCTTGACTATTCTTGGCTGAGGCGGTCTGCCCGCCACTCTGTCCACAACCCATGGTTCGAAGGATGCAACGCCTCTCTGATATCGAGCAGGAGGCATCTTGAGCCAAAAGCGTTTAGAACAAATAAACTTCCACCTAACCTTGGCCGGCCAAGCTGTGCCAACCCTGAGAGCAGTTCTGATTTGGAAAACGGTACAGCCTACAGCAAAGCTGCGGAACAGGGCAGCTGTAGTCTCTCTCTCACACGTTTTCTGCCGTCATCCCTTGCTCATCCCTCACAATACTTCCAAGGTGCCGAAGCTGGAGTGTTTCCGGATCAGCTGGCCAGGTGCGAGGTGAGATCGCCCTGTGCTTTTGGAGACTTTCGAGCCAGTTCTGTCCTGGCCGCTTTTGGGATGTTTTGGGGTGGCCCAAAAGCAATCCCAAGCGCAAAACGAGGGCTGTCCTCAACATGGTTGCCTGGAACCTCCAACGCAAGTTGGACTTGTAAGTCATGTGTGCAGTCGTATCAGCACGTGTGGAGATTTCTCCCAAACCCAACCGTGTTGATATTGAACAAGGGTGTTCTTATATCATGTGACATGTGACATCATGTGACATGTGACATGTGGCGATTCTTATGCTTTTTTGGGTGAAGAATCAAAAAGCACCATGCCATTGTCCCCACCTTTTTGTACGTATGTTCGGTAGGCGTTCAAGTGTACTCGGAATTGTAACTTTGCATGTTGTATTTGTGCATTGGTCAAGCAACATGATCCAGCTTAAATCTTACAGCTTTTGACTGAACTTAGTTTGGAACCAGCTCTGCCCGCGCCTCCTCAACCTTGATCTGCAAGCATGCCGCCCCCTGAAACAAAAGCAAGTTGGAGGCCTGACTCAAACTAAGTATGCCAAAAGTATCCAGCAATTCGGTATCAACACCAGGAAGGATTCATATAGATTCATCAACTTCAGCTGTCCTCCTCTTGCAAAAAAGCATCTGACTTCTCCAACTGCCTTGACAGCGGAAGCAGTTCTTTTAGGTGAGCGTTGTTCCAAACCTACTGAGACATCTGAGAGTTTGTTTACTGAGAAGTTAAAATCTTGTTTTCTTTCGCAAATTCCGTTCATAACACTTTTGCAGCTTGCGTTTTGGCTTTCGTGTGCTGCATTCCGTGCAAACATCGCAAGCTGCCCAAATCATTCCCGACTGAGTGTTTATCTTTTGCAGCGGCATCTAAGATGACACAACACAACCTCTCTTCAAATTGTTACAGGGGAAGTTTCGGCCGCTGCTCCGGTGGCCATCCAACAGTGCTCCACCCCCTCCGAAATCCTTGCCGCCAAAGCCGCCTTCTCTTACTGCTGTACCCAATCTGACTCACAAGCTTAGCTCTACTATATACATATATATATATATCCTATTGTCAACGTTCTCCGTCGATATTTGCGGAGTTGGCTTCATACGACTTTATGCGGCACTATATGCTTTGAAACACATGCGATCATCTTATGCAACGACAATGATTTTGGCGCACGGTGAAAGAGTCCCGTGCCGTACCCTTTGAGATTTGTCGAACCAGCTTCATGTATATATAAATATATACACATACATATTAAATGAATATTAAGTAACTCAAATAAATATATGACATATACACATATATATATATATATGCATTTGATAATGGCTCAATGAATGGCCTGCCAAAGTCTGGAAAAGCTAGGGAAGCATGCCAAGGCACAGCCCATCGTGTTGTTTCACAATTTCTGGGTCACGCCCTCAGTTGATCGGTCTTTCGAGGGACAAAAGAAACACGAAAGGTGTGCATCGGGGAACGATTTCAGCCAAAGTGCACGAAAACCTGGGCGTCTGCAGGAAAACGTTCTCGTCTTTCACCTGAAAGACGCTTCATCTTTCACATGAGCTCGCATGTCTGTTTCGACGCACGTCTCATGCTATTGCACACCCAACTCAATCGGCACCTCTTGAGGGCGCCATCTGCTTTCATCCACTTCACTCCTGGGCTTGAATCATGAACTGGAAACTCCAACAAAGAGTTCCAAGTCTTGTGGGTTCAATGGGCTTGGCTGCCGAAAGGCTGATCTGCAAATGAATTCAGGCCACATGTGCAGAAGCCTTGGCGCGGCAAAAGAATAAGCAGTACATACCTCAAGGTACTTTAAGACTCAAGGCCAGTTCCAAAAGAAAGCGAAGTATCTTGCAGTGTCCTGTGATTGTTGTACATCGGAAGGGTGGACTAAAGGTGCCGCAAATGTGACAACTGTAATTTCCCTCTCTTGAAGCAAACGCTGCCACTCTCAACTTCAATCGAAGGAACCCCCTTGGCAATCCAAGGCTGCAAGAACTCCCGTAAAGTTCATCTTGGTGACCACCTTTGCATCTGACTCAAATCTGAATGCTTCACGCAGGAAGTCAGGCTGAAGACTCCGCAACAATCTACAGAATCTTGAAGGTACTATATACTTAATACTAATTCCAGTACTACGTCAGCAAATGTCCGGCATACAGCCCACGCACAATCGTCAGCCGCTCTTTGGGGTGCTTGCAAGGATTCCTGCTTCAGGCCGGCCATTCCATTGCTTTTGGTCGCAATGGGTCGGAAGCCTCAAGCCTCTCAAGATTCTCGTTTGCCTTGTTGGACTGAAGTAAGTAAGTAAGGAAACCATGGCCTGAGAATCACTTGTTGAACTTTACACTCAAAAAATGCCAGTTGGAATTGCAAGTCGGAGATCCTTGCTGACAGATTGACAAGTGGTTGACAATTGACCTGATAACAGCAGCAACAACAACATCAGCCGGGACGACACCTCGGTCTCCCCAAGCCCTTCAGCTTGAGCCAAGATCTGTGGACAGTCACTCCGGCGACCGAATTGACGCCAGTCAGGAGTATTTGGTTGAGTTGGTGCTATTTAGACTTCAAAATGATATACGAAGTGATGTTACTGTAACCAAAATCAACTAAATAAAGTCTCTCAAAAGGGCCAAGCAGGGTCCCGCGGCAGTTTGAGAGCAAGCGGCGGTCATCTGGGCGCAAGCAGAACGCGCAAATGCTCAGCAGCAGGGCCTCAAAGCCGTGGAAACAAAATCACATACCCCAAACGCTGCTAAACCAGGGCTCTAGGATGATGTGACCTTTTGCGGTGAAGGGATTGTTGCCACCACGACTTGGGGATGGATGGGTCAAACGACAAGTGTATAAGTATTTATATATATATACACATACAAACACATAGACACAAACACAGTATGTGTATATATATATATAAACATGTTTTCAAAACCTGCTTCAAACGGGACTAGGCCATTTCAAAGCCGGACCAAGTGTCTATGACTGCAGGAAGTCCTGCAATGTGAGAATGCTGCACATGGTTGTCTGGTCTGGTGGTGTTGTTTTCAAAACTGAAGGGTAAGCTACATGTATGACCCTCTTCAACAGAAAACCTAGGTCTAACACAAAACAGCGATTCATCGCTGCCATAAATTTTGCTCAACATGACAAGGACCCTTCATCCGTGCCAAGAAGCAAAGGAGCAAAAAACAATATCCAACCAGGGGCAGCACGACATGGCAGGTTTGCACTCTATTTGCTGCTTGTGTTTGTCTCTGTGGTGGTGTCTAGTGTTGTGCTTGGGTGATCAATATCGCCCTCGCCGTCTTCGCCAAGTCCGAAGAACAAGTGCTTGTGGGAATCCTTGCGTGTTCAACTAGCCGGTCGTAGCCTGTCACTGCTGCACCTGGCATTGCCCAGAAGAGGCAGTCCAGTGGGAACTCACCAGTCCTTCAGCTTGAGGGGGTTGTTTCGACGGCTGGCCCACCTTGGCACCAGTGCAATCGAAGATTCAAAAAACAACTATACATATCTTATATATACACCTTATACACCATACTTTTGATATGATTAAACATTATGAGCGAGCCAAAACGGCAAGGCTTCGTTGGTGAGCATGAAGCTGACGGCTTGAACATGTCGCAAATACAAAGCCACACACACACAACACCAAAATGCTGAAATGGATGTTGTGCCCTGCCTCAAAATGACGTGCCCGGTCTTGTGCCGCCTTTGAAACATCTGACATCTCTGCAGCCAGAAGCGGATAGGATAGAAGGATGTAGAAGGTAGAAAGTCAAAGAAGGGCATTGTTTTTGGAACACAGCCAGGGCAGCCTTTATCCGCAACCGAGGACCCACGAGCACTTTTCAGCACACGTCGATGACAAACATCGATAAAAATATATAGCATCATATAACCAATAAAATTCGGCTGCTGATCACTTACATTTCGCACCTCTACATGATCTTAGCATATCTTAGCCAACATTTCGTCAAACTGGCTGGTGTCTATGAGGGTATCAAATGTACTGTAAACCAATTCTCGAGCCATAACAAGCAAGCCAAATTGAACGGCCAAATGGTCTCAGTCTGTCCCAGTTGCTTCAAACAATGCAACATCAGTTGGTGCCTGTGCTTGAACCAGGTGTGCCACTTCTTCGTCTAAGGCCTGGCCAGCTGTTGACAAAATAGACTGCTTACATCTTTTTTGTACATTCAGCGGGATGAGGCTCCTCCATTTACATCACAGGTGCAGGTGCAGCACCAAAGGCATGCTAATGATAATGGACTTTATATCTTTCTGTGTCTTCCGACTCCAAATGCTAAGGCTTAGGCTTAGGTCTCATCTAATTACTCAATTACTCACATCAAGGGCGCTCCATCATAAACAACTTAAAACGTCCTCCGCGTTTGATGTTGTTTCTTTGCTGTCTCCCCAAGGAGCCCCCAGTTCAAGCTGCATTTCCTCCAATGAGAAATGGGAACATTGGGAACATGCACTCTTCCCTCAAAGCAGTTGCCTCCACTTTGCTTGACAGCTTCTTCAGTCCAGCTGCAGGAGTTTCTTGCCTTTCCTCCATGTCCTAACGTCAGCATCGCTGGCTCTGAGCGAGTGGACGGCACACATTAAATAGTGGTGTAAAGTTTGGGCAGCATGTTGCATCATTGTCAGCAACCCTGCACAAGGAGGCAATTCTTCGGTTGTGTCTCTGTCAAGAACGTTTCAGACCGCGACTGGCCTGGCCTTTGGACCGCGAATCAGCTCGTAGATACAAAGGCTAACTTCCAAAAAGAACACACTGGCCAACTAGGGGGCTCGTGGCATCGCTACTAGGAGCAAGGACGCTACTAGGGGCTCCTGGCATCGCTACTAGGAGCAAGGACGCTACTAGGGGCTCCTGGCATCGCTACTAGGAGCAAGGACGCTACTAGGAGCAAGGACGCTACTAGGCCTCCTGGCATCGCTACTAGGAGCAAGGACGCTACTAGGGGCTCCTGGCATCGCTACTTGGAGCAAGGACGCTACTAGGGGCTCCTGGCATCGCTACTAGGAGCAAGGACGCTACTAGGGGCTCCTGGCATCGCTACTAGGAGCAAGGACGCTACTAGGGGCTCCTGGCATCGCTACTAGGAGCAAGGACGCTA